TAGGGTTTAGGGTATAGTCCCCCTTAAGTAGATAGAATATGGGGGGTAGAATAGGGAGAATGGAAAACAAAATGGAAACTACAATTTAGGGTTTAGGGTTTAGGGTTTAGGATTATAGTCCCCCTGAAGTAGATAGAATATGGGGCATATGGGGATCTTATTGTCATATACCCAAAAGACATTCTACTTACGGGGGGCTATAAGCCCTAACTGTCGCTGGGCCGCCTCTTCAAGCAAAGATCCGCTGGACAGCTGCAAGGACTGATGTAGCTTCGCACAAGATTGATGTTTTAGGTGGACCCCCCACCCCGTAGTAGTGATTATAACTGAAGGGATAATGGTCGTATGGTTATATTACTCTTTTCTATCAAGGCTAAAGGCGAGAATATTACGGTCCCATGTTCCTATCATAGCACTCTTACAGGGTTGCATGGTCCACCCCAATTTCTGTGGGTCGTAATCTAGGTAAGTACTCAGACGACTTGAGAGAATCGCAAATCATGGACCGAATGCTCCCCTGACGCTAAAGCTTAGCCAGGGCGACCACCAAAGAAAGCCTAGAATGTTTGGCCCTCAACTCCAAACCCTCAAGCACTAGACCTTAAATCCCAGGTCCTCAACCCCCACACCCTGACACTCAAATCCGCAGTCAGCGATGCGCGTGCTTAAACCCCCAATCCCCACACCCTAGATCCAAAACCTGTACCCCCAACCAGAGGGAAGTCGCATGCTGGGAGCCATGGCCCAGAAGAGCCCTGAAGCTGAGCGACAGCCGCTGGATGAGCTGTTGGAGGTGGGATGTTGCTTTTGAAAGCAGGGCTTTACTTATTTGAACCGTTTAAGTGGTGGTAGGGAATAACGATGATGGAATACAGGCACGGCTATGAGGAGTTTCCAGCGACTACTGTATGAATCCGTTCCTTCCTTCTCTACTTACTACCAGTCAGTGTTTGAGGGCTTGGGGGGATCTGTGTTATAGGGGAGTTCTCAAAGCGGAGAGCCCGGGTATATGCGGATGCTCACCGGGTATTATAGGGAGTCCCAACTGCTAGTAGGACTTCTATAGTGGGACAGAAACAGGTGACTCCCAGGTGGGGAGTTGACGAAAGGTGGAGGTTTAGGTTATATAGGGAAAAATGGAAAATGGAAACTACTGTAGTATATTGGTGTTATATAGGGATAGTGGAAAAGAAGATGGAAACTGCTGTAGTATTTGCGGTTTAGGGTTGTGAGAGATTTCTCCAAAGCGGGTTTGCTCTGTGAGTTTGAAGGTACATCTACGGTATGGAAGGGATGACAGTTGTGCTTCCAACTAAAGATTTCTTGCTTCGACGGTCACAATTCATTCTGAATAACGCCGAGGCCTGCAGTCATTAACCTACATGGGCAATTCACCCAGATTCTCCACGGGCCATGGAGAGGTGAAGTAGTTCCAATGGTGATACCATAGTCCTTAATCCAGAGTAAGATGTTCTTTGCTGTTGGTTGTAGTAATTTAGAAGAAGAATACAATCTTCTTTGCTTCAACCATCAAAAATCACTACTCAGGTATTCGCGGAGGTGGAGGCCACGGCTTCGAAGATGGCTACCGGGGTTTGTTCGGGGGCCGGGGCACATGATCATCTTTGAATCAATTTGTGTTTGGATTTGGGATTTTTGACTAGGTTCTGGATTGAATTGCAGTTTCAGTCCCAGCCTGCCTCCCAATTCAATCGCTGAAACAGGGATCTCCAATCTCTGCTGTTTGGCAATTTAGGGTTTCAGACTATTACTGTTACTATTATTTGTGTTATTATCTTTATAACCATTTTGATCACTATTATTACCATTATGACTATCAGGGTTTAGGGTTCACAGATGGCTGCAAGTCTCCTGCTTTCTCACGCGAACCGGGTCGGGTGAATTTTCTCCGCACCCAGAGAGTTCAAAGGTCTTTCGAAATGCCACATTTCCACAGCAGCATAAGCCTTCGCTTGTCGATACTTAGGTTCGCTTCGGCTATGCCCCCCTGTTTAAAAGTCGTCGCCACAAAATGTGGAGCTCAAGGCCCAGGCACACCCCCAACCTGAGCCCTTTCTCCTTGAACCAAAGTCCTCTGCCTCAAGCTAGTGACATCGCGGAGGACTTGGCTCACAGAGGAAGGGTCCTGGTCAACAAGGCCGAGGAAGCCCGAAACTTGACTCCTGCCTCCTTGGATGCTGGGACGTACTTGATACACAGGCTTTAGGTTCGAGGTTCCGGGAGTATGCTCACATTCGATAAAACTTTCCAGGGAATCTACAAAAGATTACTTTGTATTTTGGTAATATCATGGACAGCAATACAGTCTATCCATACCGTCTATGAGAAGCCTCTATACATCCTGCTGCACGTGGTGGTTTTGTTGTTTTGGTCATCCCCCGTTTCTCCAGGGGTGTGTCTAGACATCCCATCTAATCCTGTGCATCACCTCTACATCCCAAGGGTCCTGAACGGCATCACACCCTGTTTTAGAAAGTCTTCTGCATCTAGAGTCTAGAGACCCCTCCCATGCTTTTGGGGACACTATTCTAAAACCCTATAACAGTACAGAAAACCCCTATGAACCCCCCTACATGCCTACACGGTCCTGATACTCCTCCCAGGATGACATCTGCAAATTCGCATCTCGCATGCGGCTATCGGCGCCAGTCGGCTTCCCGCAAACTCTGGCGGGATTTCCAGCTGCGCCACTTCCGGCAGGTTTCGTGCTGCCTTGGCCTACTCTCCAGGTCCGAGCATGGGGGTAGACATTAGGTGGACCCCCACCCAGTAACAGTCACTATAAGGGAGAACAAGAGTTGTATGAGGGTCCGTTTATTCCTATTATACCACTATTACAGGGTGGGGGGGTCCTCCTAAGGTAAACAGGGGGGTACGGGCTCGATTTCGGGGAAAGCTTGTTGCTACAATCAGTCAGGACCATAAGGGGGATATCCCACAATCATGTTTCGAGGCATGACAACAACAGCACTGGACAGAGAACTAACTGCAGACTATCTGTTTATGTCGAGAGGTGCTGCAATATCCCTATATAGCCGTATAGAACCCACTAGCTCCCCCTATCACAACATGGTAGTTTCCATCTTCTTTGCATATATATCTCTCCCCTATATAAGTCCTACAGACTACAGAACAGTTTGAAGGAGATGCAAGACGAGCAGTAGAGATGCCCATAGCGCACACAAAGAAATCCAGCCAGGGATATCAGTTTCCCAAACTTAGGGGACCCCAATATAGAAACCCCAAAATAGTGTAATCCATATTATAGAGACCTCCAAAGTGGTACCCCTAATCTTGGGAAACCCCCAGATGTTGGCATGGAAGCAGGAAATGCACGCCAGAGAGATGGCACACGGGGAGACAGGGATGGCTCGTCTGCTCTTAAACCTGGCTTCAGTCGCAAGAAATCCTCTACTTTATATGAGCCATAGTCTAATAAACTCCTTGAAAGGGGTTATATAGTGGATTATATATGGGACTTCTATAGGGGTTATTAATGGGGACACTAGGAGTTTAGACAATGGTACATACGGCCCCTGCCTCCCTAATCGCAATATGGCACCAAAGTTATGTGGGGGAAAATTATCAGTGGGGGTTGGATGTTAGCTTAGGGGAGGGTAGGGTTCTTGCCTTTCCCACAAAGAAGGCTATTTCTAGCGTAGAGGCCCTCGAAATAAATCCACAACACCCAAGCCCTCAAAACTTGGATTTCCCCTCTTTTCAACCTGTAACATGCTAAAGCCTAATCTGTATAACCTATATGGGTGCTTCCAAAGACAGATGCCCGCTTGACACCCCAAACTGACCGCAATCCCTATCAGAGGTACGCTCACATAGGGACCCCGGATGTTTTTGGAAACTCTCATATTGCAAACTTAAACCCTCAAACCCCTAAACCCTATCCCGAAGCCCGGGAGCACAAAACATTGCAGGAGGAAATGCCCCGAGCACGGGCTTTAGCCTCCGGAGCCCTTCGGGCTCCGCCACTCGGCACTGTAGTCTCCAACGTGAAAGCGGTTTAGGGTTTTAGGGTGTGCACATTGCATCACATTGTAGTCTCCTATGTTTAAGGACTTATTGGGGCCCATGAGGATTTATTCGGGTCATATAGGGCTGATTTGTAGGGATTGGATAAGGGTTACGAGTAGATGGAAAACAAAATGGGGATTGTCCTAAATTACTGTCAATACGGGGTCCTATATTTGGGTTCCTGTTATAATACGGGGCCCTATATAAGTTTCCCCCATTTTGAGAGCAGTAATTTAGGGAAACTTCCAAATGGAAGCTGCTTCGTATTTCGGGCTAGGAACTTGTAAATGTAGGAGCCTAGACTCTAAATCCGAAACGACTACAATAGAGTGGGTTTTGTTTTGGGGGTCCGCCATGCGTTAGCTATACAAGAATTTTTCATGCGATGCGATGATATTGGCAAATTTTCAGGTTTCTACAATATACCAAAGCTCTTTCCCCTAATCTTAGACATCCTCCTACCCGCTCATATGGAGCTTTACCTGTATCAGGTACTGTACCTTAAGGGCCATGTTCAACTTCAGGCGGAGGGATGTTAAATACTAGCAGAATATGTTTTAGGATTCAGGGGTTGGGGATTCACAGTGTAGGATTCAGGGCTCAGGTTGGGCTTCTGGTATCCGAGTTGAGGGGCAACCCCTGATTAAGATGTTCGACGACGTGTCTCTGACATGAATGGTTTGGAGCGCAGGTGATCAAATTACAAAGCGGTAAGTCGGTAAGGTTTGATACTCCCTTAGGTCCAGCATTGTTTCGAAGAGGATAATCTGACATGGGTTGTCCCTGGTAACTGCTGCTGTAAGCCCTCGAACATTCCCCAACACTCGCCCAGGTCCTTTCAGCACCTAAAACAGGAAAGCTCACACAACGACGCGTCTCCTTCGACTGAGGCCGCCCTCTGTGAAGTTGGCACGCGCCGATCCCTCAGACCCAGGCTCGCGCGCTGCCTGGGCGGTCACCCTGAGGCCACAAAAAGCAGGAGAATTTGAGCTCAGGGGTTTTAGGGTTTAGGGTTTAGGGGATTTACAGGGGTTTTGCAGGGGCTCATAGGGCCCGTGCAACAAGGCGTTCAAATTTTGATGTTGACCATGATTTTTCTGAGGATCGTGGATGCCTGTGTCCAAGCCTTTATCAGATCCAAAGCCACAAGCGAATGAAGTTGTGCGTTGGCATCTTTATCTACGCGAGAACTTGGATACGAATGCATGTCAGCAGCACATTATGCCGGGTACTCTTTCCGCCTGAAAACCTCCTTCAAAATCATCGTATGCGTTTTTTTTGCTGCGGTGAGGCCAGGAAAGACCCCTCGAGGGCGCACCGGGTCATATGAATTCAGGGCACGCTTTCTTGCTAGGCATCGTCAAGCCTCGCTTACAGTAGGCCCTTTCTTTTGTAAGGGTTGCGTGATGGGATTGATTGAGCTGACCAAAAGCGCCTGTGCTGCTCATGAGCTATCACTGAGATGTTTCGAGGTGGATCCGCAGGGGCTTTCCTCAAAACATTTCTCAAATTACATCGTCTCCAAACAGGACCCCCAAAACCGCTTCAAAGTCATTCCCATGTATCACTGAGGCACCCCTTTTGAGAAGCTATCACATGTACAGGCCACTGCCACCAGCATCCTCGGTGCTGTTCACGGTAGACGGCTCTTTGCCTCGACCTGGCTCCAAAGGAACAATGCAGGCGCCACAGGCCCAAGCTGCTTCTTCAATATGTAGAGGCTATACAGGGATTATGTGGGAACAGCCGGGTCATATTGGAATAATGGAAATGAAAATTGAAACTACTGTGTTGTTATATTATAGCGGCATAAGTTCGTGGCACGAAATTGCCGGTTTTGGGGGGCAAGCACGCAGGATGCGCCGGTTCTCTTAGCTGAAGGAGGCCAGGTCTTTGCTGCGGCAGCTGCTTGACCGCATTCATTCCGTTGGGCGAGGGAGAGGGGATGCGCTTCCCTGAATCCATTGAGGTCGCCCCGGGCCGTGCCGTTTCCGACGTCGTGACTGTCCGGACGCCCAAAGCGGCGCCCACGGCTTCAACAGGAACAGTCCGCCGCGCAAAGGCGCGCAGAGAGTTGAAATTTCTTCGTGTACGACTCCGATACCACAAGCCGCTGTGAATTGACAGGCAAAGCGCCCCGCAGAAGGCGCGGCGCGACCGCCACCCCAGAAGAAGGCCAGAAGCACACATTTGCAGAGAAGTTCGAGCATTGGAGCGCTAAAGCAAGAGCTATACTGCTCTTCCGGTTGCACTTTCCATTCAAGTCCCAGGGAGCGACACAAAAAGCAGCGAGCACATAAGTCCACCCGTACCATCACAAGATGGCCTTCAAAAATGAGATGTTTGATCTCCTGAGACACTCCTGTGGTTGCCCTGCTCCTACTAGTGATGATGATCGGTGTACATTCCACATGGCCCTAGAAACATGAAAACCTAGGCCTCCGCGCAGTTTCGCGGCGATTTGCTGTCGCGGACCAAGTCAGCTGTTTGCGGGGACGGCCCGCATGTTACACATTGTGGCGGTCCCATTTGTGGAGGCTCATATTCAAGTCCCTCCATTTTAGTGTAGACAGGCACCGTTCTCTGCAATTGAGCGTATGAACCGAGGAGTTGGGCTTCTACACCAGCAGCATAACAGGTTTGAGCGATAAATCACTGTTGCCAGCTGACGCACTGCGAGGTTGGACGAGGATGATGAGTCGGGAGAGTGAGTGGCGTTGGAGGATGTATCATGCGCATGGTGCAAGATGCACTTTGCCATATGGACTTGCTTCAGCACAACATGCCGCAGTTCCTGGCCAAAAAAATGAACTGAGCTCTGTGACAGCAAAGATGCGAAGAGCAACACACGTTGCATGGTGAGAGTAGGTGCAGAACATCAAGTAGGCGATGAGCTTTGCAGCATTAGGAGTCACTGAGCTTACGCAAGGTCCTATGACCCTCGGAAAGATTCCTTAGTCCAGAAGATCAAGGCCTGCTCGCTTGGTGCACGGAGTTATTTCACTTCCTGAAATTTAGCTTGGCTTGATGCTCTCTGCGGCAGCTGAGCTGTTGATTTGAGCCACTGGGCATCTGATAGTTCGTAAAACTTACCTTTCGTTAACAAGGAATGAACGAATGGATCCTGACAGTAGCGGGTATATATAAACCCCAATAAGATTCCTACACCCCCTACTAACCGAAAGAAAGAATTGGCCAAGGCGATGCAGCGTTCCAACGAGGAGGCGAAGCGTCAGTGGTGACTTGCCTACATTGAGCTGTAGCCTAAACACCTCCCGGGGGGGTTATATAGGAATTATATAGGGGGCTACTGTAGGGGTTATTAAGGGGGATACTAGGCGTTTAGACTATAGCCTACATGCTTTGCCTCACTCGGTGTTTGCGACAGAGCTGGTCCGTCAAAGATGGTGGTTTGACAGCCGCATGCCAAGGTGGCAGTTCTGTGCTTGGCGCTCAGAAGGTATTGGTAGGTTATATCGAGGATATATAGGGATTATATAGGGATAATGGAAAAGAACTGGAAACTTTTAAATTTTCAAAATAGCACACATGCGGGCTAGAAATGGCACGGCTGCCATATGTTGGTGACGGCCTGCTCTTGATCAGGATAACCGCCAGGGTGGCATTCGAGATCCCACGCGTTCAGGGCCAAGCCATGCAGTGGTGGAGCATGCAAGTTTCTATGCAGAACTTCTATAGGCCTGTTTTCAAACAGTGTGGAGAATTACCAGCCTGTGCAGTTCATGCTAGCAATACAACTCCTCATCAAGCCGCAGCCAGGGCTTTAGCGAAGGCCGAGACTTCTTTGGGTAAGCTAGGAGCAGTTTGTAAAGCCAACAGCCAAGGCCACGATGTGAGAGTGCTGCAGGAGTTCCTGAATGAGCATGGCTCATCCTAGCAAGTTTCAGTATGCCATGCTGATGCAACCATGGGTTGATCGTGGATCATCTTATTGACGCGGCGGCACTAGGAAATCGCGCATACAAGTATGAAAAGCCGCAAGTCTACAAGGCACTCAGATGGACATATGTGGTGAATGATGCGTGGACGTGTTTGGACAGCATGGGTTCTTCGGACACGCCCCTGTGTTAGACCTGGACGAGTATATGAGCGATGCGAAAAGGTAAGCTGTACCGGATGCCGTGTAACTTCGGATTGAATTCTCTCAAAGGCCTGAACTTACAAAGGCCCAGCTTTGCCGAAATGAGTACAGGATCAAGTCATACTTGTTTTGGTTCTAAGTGGAACCGGGCTAAAACATGTACCGATGTAAGACCTTCAACTTTTGGAGATGCTTCATGGTGGAGCATCGATTGCTACCGGCACCCTGCTCACGGATCAAGCTTTCCTGGCTAGCACGCATGCTTTTGAACAGCATAGCGCAATGAAATGTGTTCACTTCAATGCCCATGCGGTGATAAAATGAACAGCTGGCTTCTAGTCAGGTGTGGCCTGCTCTTCTGAAGCTTATGCAAATCCATCCCCACTCCAGCTTGCTCAAGCTTTCAGGTGGCCATCCAGCACCATCCAGCCCTCGTGCTTCGCTTTATCCTCTCGCAGCCTCCCGACAGTTCACAACCTCCCTGGTTGCCATGGGCTGCGGAGTTAGCTCGACAGAGGCCGGGCTTGGAGATCAAGAGCATTGCAGAGTATCATGTTGCTGCTAGATGAAAGGAGCATGGTACCAATTGGTAGAAGCATTTGGCTCTTGCTGCAGAGCTCAGGCAAAGTACTCAGCCAGCGCTGAGGCGGGCCGTTTTGGGCGCAAATGCAGCAAGCCGGCTTGCTAAATTCAACACAGGAACAGGCCTGCACCCAGTGTTGCCACATGTAAGCTGTGCGGGCGAAGGCAAGCGCAGCTGGCTCTGAAGTACAAGCCTCAGACTCTTTTGGGGTTATATCAGGGCTATATTGGGGTTATATTAGGGTTATATCGGGGTGCTATCGGGGCTATATTTGGGTCATATTGCTAGGAGCTCAAAAAGCTTCAGTGAGCTATCCAAGTGACGGCTTCAACTTGTGATCTCGCCTGGACTTACCTGGCCGCAACCCCAGCAAGCAGGACACCACCAAACCCTGACTTTTCTGAAAAAGAGGGATGAGCTTGAATCGTTTCAATCAGCTTGCAACTCAACTGAAAATTGCTCAGCGTCCATTGAGAGGACCTTCCCCAGCAAAGAACCGCAGTAAACCAAAGCAGTTAGGATTTGTAGTTCGAGGGTTCATTCAAGGCTCAAATTTCTCCAAATAGTAAGCAGAACTTCTATCCACACGGTTACTGCTATGTGATCTGGCATGTTTTCATTAGCTCTGGCTAGCACTGCAGATACAATAACAAAGCTTCCCGCAGACAGCCCTAAAGCAAAGACCCTAAATCCTGTTTTGTATTAGCCTTCCCCAAGCCTCAGGCAAAAAGCTCGGAGCACGCCAATGCCTGGAGCTTGTTCATGCACAGACATTGGGAGGACCCCCCACCCTGTAATAGTGGCTATAAGGGACAATAAGGACTATATTAGGGTCCTCTTAAATTCCTATTATACCACTATTACAGGGTGGGGGGTCCTCCTGACACAGACAGCTGTAGTCCCCAGGTTGTCGCAGGAAATCATCTCAAGTTTCGAGCCACATTCGCATGATTCTTCATGGCGATGTTTCATTGGATCCTTGTAACCAGGATCCTGGTCCCTAAACCCCAAACCCTAAACCGCAGATATTCCATTTCTTGCCCAGGCTCAAGCCGCCGCCACAACGCAGGCAGCCACGATCTCGGCTTGAACAGAGTGTTTAGATGCTCCCCGGAAGGGACAGTACATCATGGGTCACAGAATCAGTATTGAGGGTAGGGTCAGTCCTTAGTATAGGGGAAGGTAAATCATTATACGTACAGGCAAGTTCCATTTCATTTTCCGTCTGTGTTCAACTTAGTTCTCAAAGAGCCTTGAACCCCAAAACCCAGAACCCCGTTATCAATCAGGGGGCTTCGGCAATCCCAACCTTTATGATAAGGAACCTATGGTCAGCATTTGGCTATCATATGAGCCTTGTGGGGCCAAACTCAAGGTTGGGGTTCCCAAAGTCCTGTTACTGCTCGTTTCTTACTAACAACCAGCAAGAAACCCTCAAGCCTAGACATCAGTGTAAAGCCCCAGTTTCCATTTGCTCTGCCATTTGATTCTCCATTTTTCCTCATAACTCTCAAGCAAGTGCAATGCTTCATGAGAAGAACCATAATATGTCATCGACCTCCTTATGAACCCTAAAACCTCAACTGATTACCCCTTGATGGCCCTACTCTAAAACCTCAACCTATACAAGGCCAAGTATTCTTATGGGAAGAATCAGTTTGGTAATATGATCTATATGACCTATGGCTCCCTATAGCAGTCCCTGTATGACACCCAAATAGTCAGGATATGTCAGGATCCTTGGTTTCCCTTATGCCCCCTAAACCCTATACTACCCTAAACCTTGTACCCTAAAGACTAGACCCCACACTCTAAACCCTAGACCCTAAACCCGAAACTTCCGATAAAAGCACAAAAACAATAAACCTATATAAGTCTTAGTGGTTTTGTATGAGAAGAGCTGAGGCGTCCCAGGCTTCGACGGAAGATGGCGGGGCGGCACAGCCCCAAGCAGAGCACCTGGGAGTTTGTGTAGGATTTAGGGTTCAGGGATTTAGAATTTAGGGTTTTCGCTTCAAATAATGGCGAATGAAGTGGACAAGAAAATGCAATGCAGACACTGGGACCATTCAGTGGTTTATCGAGTGTTTCCACAAACAAGGGCCCCACATTTTTAAATTTTGGGAGTCCCTATAGCCAGTATTATAGTATTTGGAGGTCTAGGCTCGGGTTTCTGATTCATTGGAAGTATAGAACAAGGGTGGGCTATCAGGGTACTGTGGGGGGTTCGTATGAGCGATGAGACTGGAGCAATTCTAGAAAATTCCCGCTTGATTTCCTGTTCCTGGCTGTTGGTACAGTTTAAAGGTGCTGGATATCTTTACCCTCAGCCCCTGATTCGCCCGCAGAGCTGCGATTGTTGGGCATATAGTTTTGCTTACTACAGGTTCATAGGGAATATATTATATAGGGACTACATAGGTACTATATCATATTCGCTTATTCCCTACTACCCACCAGTATGTTTAGGGCTTGTGGTGGGTCAGTCCTGTGTTGGGTTACGCCTGGTTGGGGATGTAGATCTGGGAACCAGGCTGAGACTGAGCCAGGTAGAGGCAACACCTGCGGAGGATATGCCTGCCTACGAGGCGACGCTCCGTTGTACACTGGAGCGGTTTTCCGTGCTTTCCGAAATTTAGGGGCCCCTTTTCAGGGTGTCTAGAGGCAGGAGTATAGTAAATTGGTAGTCTCAAGGTATCACACCTTTTGCGCTTGTTTAGGGGTTAGGTCAGGGTTCATGGGATCTGCAAGGCTCGTGAGGATCTTTCAGGATGATTTACCACTTTTGTGGACGCATCTCTACGTTGCAATCCTGACATTTCTGCTTATGCCACAGAGAAATACAAACGATAGTGATTTCACGTTAGCTGCTACTGTTCGGGAAGCTTGGAGTGCAACAGTTGTAGTGCATGTTTTTCTCGCTCTGCACTGCAGAGGCCAGTAACTCCGCCTGCAGATATTCTTCGAGTCGCCATGCATAAGTGACAAGGATGATGGCCGTCGTTTCGTCCTCATCCTCCTTCCAATCCCTTCAGGAAGCTGAAAAAGCAGAGACTTGTATGTACAAAGCTTGTGATGGGAAACTCGAGTTTTTCAGAGAATGATACCCCTATCTAATTAATCCCAGATGGCATTTCATGTTCCGTTTTACTCTTCCATTTGATTCCTCCATTTTCTGAGAATGATATCCCTGAACCTTAAACCAAAACCCTAAATAGTAGTCTCCATTTGATTTTCCATTCTCCTGTCCAGGTGAGTATGAATTACTCAAATCCCCTTGCTACCCAATGTAAATCGCAAACATAAACCCCGCTTCCATTTTATGATCTGATGTTCCATTGGATTCTTCATTATCCCTAAACACTACATACTCCCTGCATACATATAGAGATGTATAGATATATATGTAGAGGCCCTATACCCAACCCTAAACCCTATATAACCCTATATACTTACGCATTGGAGGCAGGAGCCTCGGCATGGTGGAGCACTGACACGGACTGGATTCGCGACAGCGTGGGCACCAAGATCCTCTCTGTTAGTGGTTTCCGCCTAACAACGGAAACCCAGCTATGCTAGTATATTCCTACGTTACTATATTGCTATACCATTATATTACTATAGTACGATGTTACTATATAACTGTATTTCTGAGCCCGAATGCTGGTGGGTTTTCTGAGAGGCTGGCAGAGCTGATATGGATTGCACAGGGGTTTGGTCGGCCTTGCATGCTTTCATAAGCACTTTGTGTATCCTTGACATCGGGCTTGAGTGGATAATCGTGTTCAGATGTTCACATCACAATGATCATTGGGCATTCTGCAGGAGCAGGATTCCGTGTTGCAAGGGGATGTGTTATAAGACCATAGGAGAACCTCTTTGGTGAGCGGCAGTTGAGTTGCAAGAGATCTCGGAAGGTTCACACGAGATTTGCAACGCGTACAATTTCTTCTTCGAGCACATTGGCATCCGCAAAGGCCAGCGGTTGATGCCCTACGCGGCCTGTTAACAAACCTGCGTTGTTTGATGACATCAGGCGCATTCACACAAAAGCTCACGAACACCTGTGCATGTTGTTTTGCCATGGCTATTTACCTGACCTCATTCAACCCTGGGGCCATAGCGGATTGCACAGGTTGGCGGACACCTCCTTTCAAGAAGGAAGATGTGCAGGCGCGTACGTGAAGTCCCAAAGACGTTGATATCAGATCTGAAGCAATGGTGCTGGTTTTGGCCGGTGTTATGCCAGAACTACGCATTGTTGAGAAGAGTATAGCGTTGGAGATCTGCAGGGGCTCCTATGAGAAGCCATTGAATCTTGTTTATGAAGTAGACAGTTTTCGAAGCATTCCCACAGAAGTGTGAACCAACCTGATTCTTGACGTGCACTTACATCATTTGCTGGCCTGAAGTGGGCATGTGGGAGTTCCCAAAACTTGGGGGATCCTCCTTTGCCTCCTTTGGAGCCAACCAGGTTGCAAAAGGAAGTCTGTACCGCATTGCTACTGTATGCCTCATCCATGAGGACATTGCCTTGGTGCTTTTATCGCAAGCCCAAAAATCAGAAACCTTACTCTTGCCAAAAAGCGGGGCAGCCGGCAGAATCACACCTTTCTACCCACTCGTAACCACAACAAGTTTCTACGCAAGCCTCTAAACAGTCTCCACGAACTCTGTTGTCTACGGAGACATTCTCGAATGGAATGCAGGGCCCCTTCATGGCCTCTGCCGAAGTAGTGGCCGTAGTCCGCCTGGCTCCCAGTGGCTTCTAGGTTTAGGTTAGAGTTCAGGAGAGAAGGCTGCACTGCTCTCCCCAAAACCAACGTGGAACCAAAAAAGACCAAAGTTGGAATTCATGTCCCTGAACGATGTAGCTCACCTCCCTCTTCAAATGAAGGTTTGATGCGTAGGACTCAAGCGACAGAAGCATGTTGCATGAAAGGGCCAGGCTATATTGCGAAGATATTCATTGATATTGTGAGTATTATGATTAATTAACATTGTCAAGGGTGCGGTGTTTGTTACAGCTACTAGCATCAGACACGTTACCCTGGAAAACGGTTTGTTGCAGTTGTCAACAAATGCTGTGTCTTTCAAATTTTGTGTTTTTGCTTTGCTCTTTGTTATTGTGCCTTTGACTTCTTTAATAGTAGTTTCCATGTTCCTTTCCACTATCCCAATATTGTTTATAGTCGTTTCCATTTTCTTTTTCATTACATGAACCGCATTTGCCTGGTCCAAGCCAGGTTTGCCAGCATCAGCATGATGGTTCCCACAATCTGCCAGCACGTAGCAGAGCTAGCTCCGAAACGGGAAACTCTAGTACCACAGTGCTCTACAGTGGAGTCCAAGCGCCTTGGTGCCTTCATGGCATCCAGTCTGCAAATTTCTTTCGTCCCCCGCGCAACCAACCTCAACTGACTAGATGTAGGGCATTATCAAGCGCGCACGCAATATTGACATTGAGCACCTTAACCGCGACAGGCAGCCCCATATGCTCAGGTCATCGGATTGATGAGCAGGGTAACGGAATGGTCCTCAGGCAGCTGGAGGCTATGGCCTGCACAGATCAACCAAATAAACGCAACCAAGAACATGGCAGCAGCACAGCTGCAAGAAAAGTGGTCCTCACATCGGTACTGATGATACTCACAATAGCAGGTGCAACTTAATCTTCGTGGGTACAAGCCATGTTCATGATGTGAGCCATGATTGCAATATTCTGTTGGTGGCTGGGGGGGTGCGGTAACATTATCGCTTGTCATTAGGGTCCATGTGGGTAGTTCACAAGGGTCCCACTTTGGTCCCCCTGATTATTAGGTGCCGTAATAGAATCTATAACCAAAAAGGGCCCATAATTTTGAGAGCAACCCATGTGATGCTAACGCTGTTGAAGCATGTTGAAGCCACTTGGTAGTTTCCCTAAGTTGGGGAACTCCAATTTACACGCCAAACAGCACCCCCAAAGTGGCACCCCTAATTTTGGGAAGCCCTAATCCATGTCAACCCGTATGTATAAACCCCGCCTATTCTTACAACATCCGTGAACCCTTATATCCCAATGTTGGGAAACCCTTATATCCCAATTTGGGAAATACACTCGCTACAGCCCGGTATGACTGACAAAACTCTTATATCCAATTTTCTGGAAACCCCTGTATCCCTATATGACATATATCCCCCATACCCCTCTAAACCCGTAACCCCAACCCTAAACCCTAAACCTAAACCGAACCCTAGATAACCCCCGTATAGTAGTTTCCATTTTAGTTTCCATATCCCAAAATAACCCCAATATTGGCGCAGGGCTCATCGCACGACTGGCTCTGGGGCTGGGCGCCAGAAAAGCCGCCCAACGAGGTTGGGCGGAAGTCCAAAGGATGCTATGAGGGTTGGGGGTTAGGGTTTAGGGTTGGGGTCCAGGGTTTAGGGTTAAGATTTATGGTTGAGGGTTTAGGGTTAGTCCCTCTTAAGTAGATAGAAGATGGGCTATATGAGCATCTCACTATGGTCTTGGGGGAATTCCGTGTTGTATCTACTTAAGAAGGAACATCAGACCGAATGGTCCAGATGTTGCAGGAGATGCAGGAGAGGACCAGGAGTCCGGGGTCCGATGGACACAAATTTAGACATTATTTCCTGCTAAAGGCCCCTGATACACAATATGCCGAAAGAGACGTCAACGCAGTTGGCCGTTGGCACTGCCATGCAACATGTGGGGGTTTCCCAAACTTCAGGGTACTTTCTGGGGGTCCCTATAATAAGGACTATAATATATTGGGATCTAAATGAGGTCCCCCTCTTTTAGGAACTACCATGTGTTTGGACCGATAAAATTGCAGACTTGATAACTGCCATGCCTCGAAACTGTCGATCCTTTTTTTTGGAGCTGTCACGAAATATGCTACCACCGGAGGATTCCCAATTTGGAGAACTTGCAAATATTTGCTCCAGACATGATGCCAACTTGACCGGAGTTTTAGTAATGCTTTGTGGTAGCATCAAAGCACCTGTGCAAGAAGAATTTGCATCCATGAAAAATGGTTTCATTGTACAGCTCCTTCAGGCTTTGAAGGGACTTTTCAACCTCCCGTCGTTGCCAAGTTGGCTGCTGTGCAACCCAAACAATCCCTTGACACTATACAGCGTATTCCGTCCGGCATGGAAACCTTGCAAAATTCTGAGAAGCTTTGTGTGTGTGCGGAAGCCATCGATGTCCCAGAGTCCTTGGTGACCTGCGAAATTGCAGAAGGTACCCATATGATCTCGCATGCGCAATGTCAAGTCCTCAAAAGATGCAGTCCTTAGCCCTCCAAAATCCTTGGAGTCTCCTTACCAATACATCCTCAAAAGCCCTTGCAAGATGCCAAACACTTCTTGAAGCCCCGAAAGCCCCGAAAGCCCCTAACCTAGCTCAACCCATGGACACGATGCAGGCTGAGTTTTTGGCAGAGTTCTTCCGTGGCCTCGTGTTCGCCACGCTGAGCGACGCTAATGGCTTGGTCCACTGGCTCAGACGTGGTGTGGTTGCGACGGTGGCAGCGGCGGTGGCAGTAGGACAGAGAAAATAGTTGTAGCGATGATGGCACATTTTTCTCGGATGTATTCCTACACCCGTTACCAAAGACACTAAACAGGCCGTTTGTGGTGGTGATGGTTGTGACCGTTTTGGCGTGTGAAGGAGAAGCAGAAGACACAGAAGAATAGCAGCGGGGCTACCAGCGAGGTGGTACTCGCAATTGGGCAATGCTACAGAAAACTGCAACAAAAATAGTGACTGTAGCAAGAGTGCTCTCAGGAACAATATCAGTGTAACTACTAAGAGAAGTAGGTCGGCTCCTGCTCGCAGCTCTCGGCACATGCCTGCTGTGCTGGCAAGATGCTGCGGCTCATGCTGCGTTTCCCAGGTCGAGGGGTTGGATGCGGCCACGTTGGACTACTATGCCTGCGACTCAGGTCTCTAAAATGTGTTATGCAGACCTATTCGAAAAAAATGGCTGCTCGTCCTGTACCCTGATCAGCGGCATGCATCAGCATTTTGTCTGGCCGTGTTCCCCAGCTCTGGAGATTTGAAAGTTGAGGTCCAGAGCCACCCAATCCTGGAAACATCCAAAGCTGTTGAGCGTGTCGCTCAACAGGAAGCAGGCGCTGCCCGAATTATGTGGACATGTATAGGCACCGTGCGGTACTTGTTAGACGTCAATCCCTCTTGCCCTAGCGGGTTGGTTTCCTGTGGCCCATAGCAATTTCTACATAACTCCTGAGGGACCTACTCTCTCTCTCTCTCTCTCGCTCTTTACACTACCACAATTCCCAATTATACCTAACGTAACAGTGAGTGTGGTTTGCTTGACTGCTGGCTGCAGGCCCTGCAGCTACTGAAGCTGTGGAAGTTGCTGCCGCAGAGCCAGCTGCAGAGACGGCACAGACTGAGGCACTTGTAGAGATGCCCAGGGCAGGGATATACAGGCATGTATAGGGATAAAATTGAGAAGACAATTGGAAACTACTAGCTTTAGGGTTTAGGCCTAGGGCTTAGTCCCCAGAGTCTTGAGAGGAATCTTAGGTTTCCCTGAGCTACCCCTCTGGGGGACTGGTAGCATGTGAGCGCTAACTCTTACTGTACGGCCGTTCGACTTGGATAGCTTTACAAACGTTGAGTCTCTGACCTTCATAGCTTTTCCATGTCTCTATGTCTTGACTATACAACTTTAACCCTAAACCATAGGAGACTTTATGGGAGGATTATGGAAACTTCCTACCCTGAACCTTAAACCTTAACCCAGCCACCTGGAATGGGCTTGTATTGTAGGGCAGTGTGAGCAGCTGCGGAATGCAGGTGATCCTGAGGGTGTTCCATAGATGTGCTCCCCAATGAAAACACCTACTTGCGTATATGGGTTGTTCCCAGAAAATGATCCTTTTTGAAAACAGACATGAAAACAGACATTTATAGGCCAGGCTGTATTACGGCACCGAATATTTTGGAGTACCACAAGGGGACCCTAATTTTGGAAACTGCTCACATCTTTGGGGTAAAAGTTCAATCGAGGGTTGAAAATTTAGAAGCATTGAAGAGTCAAACTGAAAATGAGATGGGAACGGGGATCATGATTTCATCGCAGACTCATCCATATCCCCCAAACTGCTCATGAAGACACTGCACCCTGACA